GTGGAAACATGTAGGTGTTGTATAGCACACAGCCAAAGGAAAAGGCATCCTGTGCCGGTCGTGCACCTACACGACCCTGGCCGAAAAGCACCTCCGGTGCTACATAGCCTGCCGTGCCCGACGATGCAGTGGCTGTGCATGGTAGCATAGTGGCTTCGGCAGCCGCCTTGGTAATGTCGAAATCGCCGAGCCGCACAACAGGTTGGTCCTCGTCACCGTCCAGCATCACATTGCTCAGCTTGACATCCCGATGCACCAGGCCCTTGCTATGCATAAACGCCAGGGCCATGCGCAGCTGCGTCATCAAACTCGCAACGACGGTCGAGGTGGCCAGATGCCGCGCCTTGCCGAGCCACTGCTGCAGATCCCCCTGTGTACACCACGGCTGCACCAGATAGGCGCTTGGGTGGCCATCATGCACGCCCACAAGCGCACCGAGGACTGGAACGATGTTTGGATGCTCAAGCTGGCGCATGGCGCGCAGTTCGCGGAGAAACGTACGACACTGATTTTGCTTGTGTTGCTGAGCAAATGCATACTCCTTGACAGCCAAACCCTGTTCTTGCTCAGGCCGATTCGGCAGCGCTGCACGAGCTTTGTACACCTTGTGGTTTTGGTTGTATTGGAGCTCAAGCTGACCCAGGCAGGAGAGCGTCAACACTTGGTCCACTTCGGTCATGGCCTCCAAGATCAGACTGGCTGGAAGGTCGGGGCCAAGTACTTTGCGGAGGTGTACACCCAATGCACTGTGCTCAGGGTGCAAAAAGATCAAGAGGGCCGGAAAGTGTTGGTGCAGTAGCTCTGCCAGTGCTGCCACCTGGTCCACCTGTGTTGCCTTCGAGCTGCTGCTGCAACGTCGAAAGTCGTTCCTTCTCTTCATCCAGGTTGGCTTGTATACCAGCTCGCATGTCGTCTGACACAAAAGCCAAGAATGCTGTGGTTGCCTGAATTTTCTTCTGCAGCTCGGCCACCTCCTCATGAATGGATACAACTTGATCTGCGCTGCTCTGCGTGATGCTGCTTGCATATTCTTCGCATAAGGTCACCACGGACAGCGTCTTGGCCTGCCAGTCGATCATATCCTGCAGCTGCTGCAACAGGGCTTGTGTCTCGTGCAGCACAAACGCCAGGTACCAGTCCTGATGCTCATAATCGTGTTCTGCTCTCCAGTCTGCGAGCTGCTCCAGCCCATTCTGTTTGGGCGAGCTGAGACGTTCGTGAGCCTGGCACAGCTGCTCCCACGCCTCGGGTAACGACTTGGCCGAAAGTGGTGCGCTCACATCCGAGCATTGTGCGCGTTGCCGTAACGTGTCCACGCGATGCATTGTGTCAGTGTCGGTGGTACCCGCCCTTGCCACGGCGTCCAGAGCATCAATCAATGCCAGCACCCGCCGCTTGATATTGGTATCAGTGCTGGTAAGCCGTTCTTGGCGCTCGGGTTCCACATTGTGCAGCATGACGAGTTTGCCCAGAGCTGCTGCAAAGTCGGTGGGTGGCGTCTCAAACGCAGTCGTGGGCGCGGTGGCTGGAGCGGGACATTTTGCCAAGATGTTCTGGAGTTCAAGATAGACTGGTTGGAGCTCAATCTGCTCTGTTAGACTTTGCATCTTTTCAAGTACCGATTCTAGATTGTCAATGTTGGGGTCCAGCTGGCTGAGGCAGCCCTGTAGCGCTTCGGGAACTTGCACTGCTTGGTCGAGGACGCCGAGGGCGCGGGTGATGGTCGCTTTGAAGGCAGGCCAGTCCAAGGCAGGAAACTCTGGTGGAGCTTCATCGATGGTTTTCTGGATCCTCGTAACCATCGCTGTGAGATTAGGGTTTCGCTCGATGGCACCACTGATAAAGGCCTCGAGGTGCGGGAGGGGGTGCGTGGTGGATTGCTCGGGCAGGAGCGGCCCGAGCCAGCCTTCCACCGACACCACAACAGCGGCCGTTGTCTATAGGGGGATGTGGTTGAGGGGAGGTTGAGATAGGGATGGAGTGGGGAGCAAAGATTGTAATTCGGAAAGGAAAAGCGGAGAGAGGTGTGTACCTCAAGGGACGGTGCAGGGCTGGGCAAGGGCGGCAACCAGGCAAATAGCTGTGCAAGGCGAGCTTCGTGGGCAGCAAACACGGGTTCCAGCCTGTTGGCATGCCCACGTCGACGTCCAGCATCGAAGGCCGTCTCCCCTCTCTGAGAACATATTCAGGGGAGGGACGAGGTGTGGTAAGAGTTGAGCGATGTGCATGTTTTTTTTTAAAATGAAAGCCAGTGCAACGATGCACATGATTAAGCAGGAGACGTTCGGCGAGTAAGCGGGGTACAGATCAGGCAAGAGGTGGCAGGGTATCTCAACAGAAGGGTTGATTAACAAATAATTAACAAAACTCGTGTTTGGAAAAATATCGTCAAATGTGCAAAGGCAAGATGCAAAAAATGACGACCAACATGCGTTTGAGCGCGCGAGGAAAGCAGGGACACCATGATGATGGCAAGGGATTGGGTGGCGTCCAGATCAACATGTCAAGTCGCAATATCGTGGCGGATGAGCAGCGCAGATTGAGAAAGGGTAGGCAGGCGGAGGTAGAACAAGAGGAAGCAAAGAAACCCAAAACGGAGAAAGGCAATAGTGTTAAAGACGAGAGAAGAGATTGAAACGGGACGGGTGCACGCAAAGGGCAGGGTGTCGAGAGCAGAGACGGGCCGAGCGGATGTGCAGGAGGAGCAGCAGCAATGCGGAAAGAAGGGGGTACTGTACTGACCTCGTCCTTGGCTTCAGCATCAACGCCGTGCTCCAACAGTGTCTCCACCACCTTGACATGGCCGTTATAGCAGGCATAGTGCAGTGGTGCTCGGCCGCCCTGGTACAGCATCATCAGCATATGTTAGAGGTGTACCAGCAGAGGAAGGTTAATGGGAAAGAGGGAAGTATTGACCTTGTTCTGCGCTTTTGCATCGACACCATGCTCCAACAGCATCAACACTACCATGATACGACCGGTATGGCAGGCATAGTGCAGTGGTGTCCGGCCATACTATGGGATGATGCCTCAGCATTAGATACAGCGTTATCATATGTTGTAAGTGTACCATCATAAGACGGAAGAGCAAGTGGGAGGTACTGACGTCGTCCATGGCTTTTGCATCAGCGCCATGCTCCACCAGCATCTCCAACACCTTGACATAGACTTGATCGCAGGCATAGTGTACTGCAGTCCGGCCATACTGTGGGAGATGATGCATCGGCATTGTTGACAGGTGCAACAACATGTTACAGGTGTACCATTCCCAGAAGGTACGGAAAAAGGGAGGCACTCACATCGTCCCTGGCTTTGGCATCAACACCGTGCTTCAACAGCATCTCCACCACCTTGACATGG